AAAGTGGAATATATGTATGGGAATTTGCATATCTATATTTATAGCATCAGTTCACATGCTCTGTTTTGAAGAGGTGAAGAACCCTTTGCTATAAGTCATCTTGAGTTTGTTGACTATCAATGACAAACAACTGAAGTTTGAACATTTCTCTCTTAACCCTAACCCTTTACAAATCAGCAAAGGTTTTCAGCTGGGTCAAAAAATAATTTAAAGGCCAAGTAAATGATAATCACAATGAAATAGAGTGCTTCCAATTTTACTCTAGCAGACAATGCAATTTTAATACCTTAGCTTACTTACACGGTTTACATACAAGTTTATACAGCTTATAGTATTTTATCAGATGTCTCTGGAATGTGTGCTGGATGTAAGACTTTGGAACACAGAGATGGTTTTAGCCAAATAATAATCAATGAAGCAGAGATTTGCAATTATTTGGCTCATTTGAGCCTTTAGATAGCTTACCTGGGTAACTCAGAGCCCAAGGCTTGGATTTTCTCATGTTAGTTGATTTCTCCTAGTTCTTAGCATAGGTACATAGTAGATGCTTAATTAATGCTCAATCATGAGAGCGACAACTAACATTTGTAAAGCATGATACACTCTATCAAATCTTTTCACATATAAAGTACTGATAATTATAAAAGCTTCATTATATGTTGTGTAATTCCAGCCTGAATAAAAAATGTTGTGAGACTACTATTAGCATTATATCTCTAACTCAATCATCAAAAAAAAATTTTTTTTTGGTAAAAACGGACACATTAAGCTATGAAGAGAATGACAAGAAGCCATTGTGCCTTTTAAGGAGATATAAACATGTGATAAATTTTCTGCTTGCAAATATTAGAACAAGTATCAAGAGGGAATAGACACAGGCCCACATAGGGTCAATTGGAGTCTCCTGGGGTTAGGTTTCCTAGTCTAAAGCAGTGAATGTGCATAGGCCTGGGACATAGTTTGTAGGTTTATTGACACAGTGGCAATGAATGCAGGGACAGTGAATGCTGGACATATGAAAAAATGCTGGCCTGCAAGTCTAATAAACCTTTTTCTGTTTCCTTTTTATTATTTTAGACATAGCAAAGGGTAGGGAGACTAACATAATGGACACCCATATATCCATTGCTTATATGTGATAATTGTTAATATTTTGCCATATTTGCTTCATATTTCTTGCTGAAGTATTTTGAAGAAAATATATGCAGTATACATCTCTTAAAATGAAGGATCAGTTGTCTATATAACCTTAATGCCTTTATCACACCTAACAAAATTAGCAAGTATTTTATAATATTATCTAATATCTACTTTATAAAATAAACTTCATATTATCATTTCATAGGCAAATGAAATTATGAGCATTAAGTGAAAAAATCCATTCTTCAGATTCTGGTATTTACCTTTGTTGTCCACATAGATGGCTTGGTGTTGTCAATAGCACTCTAGGGCTGAGGAGACCTGCATTCTGTTTTGGGGTGAGATCACACATGAGTTGCTCAATTCTCCTTTTCTCAGATTCCTTGCTTGTAAACAAAGAGGATGGAATAGATTATTTCCACTGGGGTTTACATGAAGAACTGATAACCTGTAGGCCTAACTATTATTTGGCTTTATTTTCACACACTGTAGGGATAATTCAGGAAGAACGCAGAAACAAGTTGTTTTGCTGTCTTAGTCCATTTGGGATTCCATAACAGAATACCACAGACTGGGTGGCTTATAAACAACAGAAATTTATTTCTCACAGTTCTGGAGGCTGGAAGTCCCAGATCAGAGTGTCAACCTGGTTGAGTGAGGAGTAAGATCTGGCCTTTGTTTAGGTTAGAATCTTCAATGTGGGAGATATAAAAATGGAGTTTGTGCAGCCATATTTTCTACTATAAAAACTGGTAGTTAAAGAGATACACAGAGTGAAACAAAGATGGAGGGAATGTCTGGTGCATAGTTCTAGTTCTATCCTGAGGCATGGCTTGGTTTCATCCTTATACTTTCCATTTTTTATTTAAGTGAACTTGAATTGGTTTCCCCTTTTTGAAACAGAAAAAATTCAACAGATAGAATGTATTGTTGGAAGCCTATTGTCAAGTCCCTCAGTCATACTATTGCCTCTATCAGATCAGCCAGGAGTTATTCTCAAAGGTGCAGAGAATACAGTCTCTGAAGATCTAAGTATACAATCAAAGTACCCCAGGAGAGTCAAATGAGGATCTTGGTTTATACCTGACAGGTCCAAGATTTATATGTAACGGTGAATGTGTGTGTGTGTGTGTATAAAATCAAGTAATTAATTTAAATAATTGTCATAGTCTTTAAAATATTAGCAGACTAATGAGAGGGAATGGACAGGCAACTGTCTTCCCCATGGTACTGAACACAGCAGAAGAGTTGTTTCTTTTGTAGGTAATTTCTTTCTCTAATTTTTAGGATGAAAAATAGTGACCCTGCCCATAGTTTTATCATTCAAACACAGAAAGCATAGCTCTCCATTCTACATATAAAACTGGGGTGGACACAGCTGCAAAGAGCTGGATAATTACAATATCAGTCAGATCAGGGGAGAATAATGACTTTACTTGAATAGAGCATTTGGGAAGGAATTAGAATTGAAAGGAAAATAAAATAGCAAAGCAAACTATTTAACATCGGTCTGGTCTTCAAGTGAGCACAGGTGAAAGATGGTAACAAGTGGTATTTGCTCCAAATGTTGCTATAGGGCTGTGGTTGGCAAACTGTGTCTCGCGAGCCATATGCGGCTCTTTGGCCCCTTGAGTGGGGCTCTTCCTAAGCCTTAGGAGTACCCTAATTAAGTTAATAACAATGTACCTACCTATATAGTTTAAGTTTAAAAAGTTTGGCTCTCAAAAGAAATTTCAATCGTTGTACTGTTGATATTTGGCTCTGTTGACTAATGAGTTTGTCGACCACTGCATATGGTTTGGCTAAGTGGACAGAGCATTGGCTTGCAGAATAAAGGGTCCTGGGTTCAATTCCAGTCAAGGGCACATGCCTGGGCTGCAGGCTCGATCCCCAGTAGAGGGCATGCAGGAGGCGGCCAATCAATGATTCTCATCACTGATGTTTCTCTCTCTCTCTCCCTCTCCCTTCCTCTCTGAAATCAATAAAAAAATATATTTTAAAAAAATGAGTAGCCGAAACCGGTTTGGCTCAGTGGATAGAGCGTCGGCCTGCGGACTGAAGGGTCCCAGGTTCGATTTCGGTCAAGGGCATGTACCTGGGTTGCGATAAAATATATTTTTTTAAAAAGGGAATTAATTAGCGTAGATATTTTAATATTGCTATTTGCCCTTTCTCTATAATAGAAGTGTGAGAGATGAAAGGAAATTAGTAAAATGTATATCAAAATAATATATAAATTTACTAATAAATAAACAGTAACAAAAGGTTATAATAACAACAGAGGCATGATATAAAAATGACAAAAACATGATATGAGAACAACAAAAACATGATATGAAAACAACAAAAACATGATATAAAAACAGCAGTGATGCAAACAATGACTGATAAAGTGATTAAACTTATTCTAATATCTCCCTGTACACCACATTAAGAGTGAAAACACTTTCAGAGTGCTTGACTAATTTCCCTTGTGATGAAGTACTTAGAACTTTAACTTTAACATCACATGCTCTTCGAACTCGAGAGAAAGTAACATATAACTGACCATGTGCAAAAACAGGTTCAGGTAGGAATATGCCTACTCATCTAGAGCAGTGGGTCTCAACCTTCCTAATGCCGTGACCCTTTAATACAGTTCCTCATGTTGTGGTGACCCCCAATTTCATTGTTACAAATTGAACATAATTAAAGCATAGTGATTAATCACAAAAACAATATGTAATTATATATGTGTTTTCTGATGGTCTTAGGCGACCCCTGTGAAAGGGTTGTTCAACCCCCAAAGGGGTCGCGACCCACAGGTTGAAAACCGCTGCAAGAAGGATAGGAGAAAGGCAGAGGGTTTGAATCCGTACCAAAAGGAGGGAAAAAGAACTCTACTTGGACACAGAGCAGTCCAAGTAAGACCCCAGAGGCTTGAAATAGTGTACAAGTTGGGGGATTATGATGTGTTCCAACCATAAAGTAAAAGAAAGGATGGAAGGAGATGAGGTTGGAGAAAGGGGTCCCAGGCTGTCCTCACATGGAAGTCATTACAAAGCCTCTCTTTCCCACACTCCCTCCTCACTCTCTTTCTCCCTTTCACCAGGTTCATCTATTTGCTTTAAAATAACCCCTCAATTGAAAATTGAAAACAATTCTTTTTGAGGTTGTTTTATCTTCCTTCAAAACAGCCCTGACTGGTTTGGCTCAGTGGATAGAGTGTTGGCCTGTGGACTGAAGGGTCCCAGGTTCAATTCCGGCCAAGGGCATGAAGAGAAGGGGGAGGAGGAAGGGAATATAATTTCTTTCCACTGACCTGGACAAAGATGATGGCTTGTTGTGGATATTAAAGAGGCAATTAATCCCATGAAAGCAGGTGGATACACCAGCTTCTTTGTTTTTGAACTAGCCAAAAGGAGTCCCACAACGCCAGCAGAACCAGTAACACCAAGTCTTGGAACAAATGCAGGCGGTGCCTTTTGGAGATATTCATAGCTGTGTAACCCCCACTGAACCCAACTTCGCATTTTGGGCTCAGTGTGGGAGTACAGTTCCTGACACCAACTTTTTTTTTTTTTTAACAAACTGTTTTTTAAAAAATTTTTTTTATTGATTTCAGAGAGGAAGGGAGAGGGAAAGAGAGAAACATCAATGATGAGAGAGAAGAATCATTGATCAGCTGCCTCCTGCAGGCCCTACACTGAGGATCGAGCTGGCAACCTGGGCCCTTGACCGGAATCGAACCCAGGACCCTTCAGTCCGCGGGCCGAGGCTCTACCCACTAAACCAAACCAGCTGGGGTGCCACAACCTTTATACGCCGGAGATGTGAGACGCTTTCTTCAGGTTGAGTCCTTGGCTCCTCCGCGTATTTAGCTGACTCTCGGAACCGAGTAGAGTGCAAGCTCATTAACCTTCGCGGAAGTTTTGTGAGGTGAGTCCCGTGATGCATAGACCTTGAAGGTGAGCAGACTCTGGCTGGCCGGCCCCCGCGGACCTCTAATGACTTTGCACACGTCGCTGGTGGTGGCTGCTCCAGAGGGTTCGCGTGTTGTTGTTGTTTGTTTGTTTGTTTGTTTTTAAGCTTGGAAGGCATTAGGCTCCACTATCAAAAATAATCACCAGACGTTTTCACTCTTTCCGAACAGGATGAGGGGTAAGATTATGTTAAGAAACACCAAGTAAACAAATCTGCACAGGCACCTGCCAGCGGTCTTAGGGCACTAACTCGTCATTCCCTTGCGTCCGTCTTTCTGCGGTGTGACTTCTGGAGGGCAGGGAACGCCCAATGCAGTGGGCGATCGAGGGCCACGACCCCCCCGAGATTTAATTTAATTGTTTAAAGCGGTGTAAACCTGTCTTCTCCGGGCGGGAGAGCTCGGCTCTTGGGCCTTGCCCACCCGTCTGTCGGCCGCACGACGCCTGCAGGGGG